GTGAACCCTTCCCTCTCACCTCACACAAACCCTTTACAATGTTTAAATCTGGAGAATCCTGAAACATGCAATTTCCTTGACCAGGTGTGTTCTTCAATGTCCTACCTTTTTTCAGCTTGAACTAGAAAACCTCCACCCAGAGAGCAAGGATTTGTTCAGTAATCTGCATGTTCCTGTCCCACATTCGCATTGCTGATGGTGGGCTGGAGTGGGCTAGAGACAGTCGGTTTTTTAAGATTGACCCTCTCTCCATCCTACAAATGCTTTAAAACTCAATTTATTCACAGTCTGAAAAAAAATCATTTAAATCTCAACATATCAGAACCTGTAATAAATGATAGTTGATATTCAACATAGCGTATAAATCTACTCAAATGATAATGACACCGCCTGCTAAGCAAGAAGTTTGATCCCCTTCAAAAAAGTTATTCCTAAAATGTTTCGGGGTCTTTTTTCCCAGAAAAAGGTTTAAGAGTTCACTATTTGAAAACATCCTTTAGGGAAACCTTTTGCAAAGTAAAACATCCTGTCCACACTTAGTATGTCTGTGTTCCAATGCAGGTTTGTGTTGACCTGTATTTCTAGATGAAGGCACACCTGGACAGTGAGCTCCTGCTGCTATCACTTCTCTCTCTATTCCGACATACACTGAATGCTGAAAAAAGGTTTGCTAAATAAATAAATGAAAATAAAGGAGTATTAGTAGATGTTCCCTCATCCCGCAGCAGAGACTCTATCTGGAATCTCCAAGATATATTCCTTCGATCATGCCTGTGTGGAAATGCCACCGGCTGCCCCACCCTATAAGATGCCTGGGGTTGGCTGTCCACTATACAGATTTTTCCTGGTCTTTGATTCTCCTCTTTCCATCTCTAGCCATCTCCTCCTTAACTGGTGTCCACCCCAGAGAAATGAGAAAGGAAAAGGAAGCAGAAGGTATGCTGATCAGTCATTTCTCCTCTACTGGGGCAAAAGGTAGGAAAGACAAATAAATTATTAAAAGAAACTGTTCAGAGTCTACTGAATTCTAAAGCACTTCCTACAGGGCATCAATTTATGATGATTGGCTGTGGAATCATGCCAGGTGCAGAAGGAGGAGGCTCTTTCAAATCTTTAGAGGACACTTGCACTACCAGTGGTGGTAATTATTCTATCTGGCCATCCTGAAAACCTAAAAAGTGGCACAGGAAGAAAGGTGAAGGAAGGAGACGGTCAGGAACTTGTAAGGTGGGCTTGCTTGTTTAGCATTACTGGGCAGCAAAAGGGAGTTCTATTGCAGCACAAATTGCTAAACGAGTGGGTCTCAACTAAAGGCAGCCCCCCCCCACGGGATACTGTGGTTGCCACAACTTAGGGGGCACTATGGTAAGCTACTTACATCTAATAGGCAGAGGCCAGAGATGCTGCTAAACGTCCTGTGATATACAGGACAGCTCCCTACAACAAAGACTTACCCAGCACAAAGGGTTAATAGTGCTGCCGCTGAGAAACCCTGGGCTCACCCAAAGCTTATCATCAAGAACTCTGGTCCAGTCTATGGTTCAGGAAGCACTTGTGATGGAAGAACCAGGAAAGAGTAAAGCGATTCCACACTAACAGGAAGTCAGCATGAAGAAGTAAATGATACAAATCACTACAGAGGCGCATTCAAAGCTCCCTGTCCCAGAGGTCACGCTTTCAGATAGCAGCCATCCATTCATTCAACAAATATTTACTGAGCCCCTCCTGTGGCCCAGGTGCTTTCTGGGCCCTGGCTCCACTCATAGAAAATAATTTGAAGAATTCCCAGGAATACTGCCAAGTGGTTTGGTTAAAAAACATGGAACGTGGAGCTTGGAGAACTTTAGCCACTGGGCCCTTCCTACTTACTGGTTTATAGTTTAATTCTCAGTTGAATGTTCCATAGAAGCCATCCTTTCCAGACCTAGGAGTCTTTTGGATTTTTAAAAAAGAAGGCTGAGTGCAGTGGCTCACGCCTGTAATCTCATTGGGAGGCCGAGGCGGATGGATCACGAGGTCAGGAGTTAAAGACCAGCCTGGCCAAGATGGTGAAACCCTGTCTCTTCTAAAAATACAAAAATTAGTCAGGCATGGTGGGGGGTACTGGTAATCCCAGCTACTCGGGAGGCTAAGGCAGGAGAATCGCTTAAAGCTGGAAGGCAGAGGTTGCAGTGAGCTGAGATTGCGCCACCGCACTCTAGCCTGGGCGATGGAGAAAGACTCCCTTTCAAAAAAAGAATCTTTTACAAAATTCTCTTGTGTAGAGTGAAACTTGTGAATCTCACTGATTAAGTTGAGAATACTGAGCAAAGGTAATTTCTGTACTGTTCACAATTACCTCATTTATCTTAACAACACAAACAAAATCTAAAAATGAAGAGGATACAAATGAATATTTATTTGGTCATTCAGATGATTTCTGCTGCTACAAGGGCAAGTGACTTACATCTCTCAAAGAGTCTAGAAACTTTCACTGGCAACTCCTTCAGTTGGAACAGAGATAAATAACTTTGAAAGATGACTGAAAGGTGACATAATAGCTTAGAACTTCCATAACTCACTCTGGAGATCATGAGAAGTTTTTTAAATTATCATCTCTTCATTGAGTACAATTACTAACCAACAAATAAAGCAACTAACTGATACCTACAGGTAATAGATAAGCCTCTTATTATTATTAATTGAATAGAAATGGCAAACAGCAAAAGTGCTGCCTTAAAACCTCTTTTGGGCTGGGCACGGTGGCTCATGCCTGTAATCCCAGCACTCTGGGAGACCAAGGTGGGTGGGTGACCTGAGGTCAGAAGTTCAGGACCAGCCATGTCAACATGGTAAAACATCATCTCTACAAAAAACACAAAAAATTAGCCAGGCGTGGTGGGCCACGCCTGCAATCCCAGCTAGGCAGGAGGCTGAGGCAGGAGAATCACTTGAACTCAGGAGGCAGAGGTTTCAGTGAGCCAAGATTGCACCACTGCACTCCAGTCTGGGCCACAGAGTAAGGCTCCATCTCAAAAATAAATAAATAAAATAAAAAATTTCTTTTGCTACAATAATAAACATTACTTTCTCTAAATTTAAACATAACAACTAATTAATTCACCAAAATGTCAGTTGTCACCTAAAGCGTTATAATAACAAGGAAATACCTTGGAATAAAGAAGAATCCTCACAGGAATAGAGAAAGTGGAACGAGCTGATTTTACTCATATTTCAGTGAACACTGTAGCCTTGCCTGCTAATAATTACTCTTTCAATAAAGCCTCAGAGAGAGGGCATTTAAGAATATCTCTGGTGATGCAAGGGACTCTATTTCTACTGGCCCATCTCTTGTCTTAATCACAAAATATGTTTGTACCAAACAGTCATCACTGCTGGAAGCTCTCTGCCAAGCCCCCAAATCACAAACCTTGGTGATAACTTCCACAAAGCACATAGAGCCAGTCACAAATAGATTTATAAAGATAAAATCTATTTATGACTGCAAGGACTAAAGAGGTGACTTCATGAAGGCTGTCATTTGTACCACCGTCTTTTGTTATTAAGGACGCAGAACATGGAAATAAGAAGAGAAAATCGCTATTTTCTAATAGAAATTTAGAAAACAGAAATAAAAATTGAGTGTTCTATCCATACTCACAAGAAATATGGATTCCGAGGGAGTTTAATTTTTGTTATCCCATACCCAGTGTTTTCCACACAAAAAGAGAATTTGGCCCCTTGTCTTTCTTTTGTAATCTAAAGCCAGTTTTAGCAGCAGAGGCAGGAGATTGGAAGAGATCCAGACAATTTTTTTAAAGGCTTATACCCAATGAAATGCAATCAACACTGTCTTTTAAAAGCAAGTAAGGGCATGAAAACAAAACATTCAAATCCTATGTTTCTTCCTGCAAGTAATTTAAAACTAACCAGCTATCTGCTAGCATACCACTGACCTTTGGCTTGGACTCAAAGGTTTTAGGAATAACCTAAAGATAGACTTTTTTTTTGTGATGAACATGATTAAATTACAAAAGCCCGGTTTCTCCCCCTAAAGACCAATAAAGTATGTTTCAATTTTAAGCAATAAAAGGTTGAAAAAAACTCAAAATCAACAATATTAATCTAGTCTTTATTACAAATGAAATAAGTCAAGGCCCATTTCTCATACTGACTGAGGTGGCAAATGGCAATCTCTTATGTCAAACTACAGTGATGAGAACACTTAATTATGGTTATATTTATAAATATCTGGACTTCATCATAATCAACCTCTCTCTTGCAAAGTAAGAAAAAGAAATGTCCACCAAGTAAGTCCATTCATCTTATCCACCAAATAAGATAATGTCTGTCTAATTGATCACAGCACCCTCAAAGCCATCAGCTGGGACCCATTGGCAGAAAACCATTTCAGCTTCTCCACCTGACACCAACTATTCATTTTGCGGGAACCAACACCACTATATAGAGTGATCCCTATAGAACCTCCTTAACTGAAGACGGATAAAATCCAGGGGAAAAGGGCATGAATAGCATCTAAAATGAAGACCCCAACAATTGTCCTCCATTTACAGGGCTAGGAGACGTAATGGAGGCGCAAGGAAGAGTTAAAATCCTGGCCCCTAAGTTAGTATCTCCAGCTGAGCCTGCTGAGCCCTGACCCAGGGCCCTGTGAGACTTTCAGGACTGTGGGGAAACTACACTGTCCGGGATACTTTGAGTTTCAGATCTGTTTCCCACGGTCGGCCACGTAGGAGTGTCCCCCATATTTGAGGGAGGTAAGGACACAGAGAGATCCTGTGTGTGGGAGACGAAGGGTGTAAAAGAACGCATCAGAAAGCCCCAGAGGTCCAGGAGAACTCCGTCTCCAGGTCTCTTCCTCAAAGTTACAAACCCGGGTCTGTCAGCGTGCAGGGCGGGCCGGCTGGGGTGGCTGGGCGCCTTGCTGCGTGCCCTCCCCGAGGCTGCCATGGTAAGGAGACAGACCCTTGGAAGAGAAAAATGACGTGAGGGGGTCTTACTTTTGCAGCTCGCTGCCCAGGGCTGGTAGCCGTAGTAGCCAGTGATGCGCAGGATCCGCTCCTCGATGGACGTGAGCCCCACGGGCCCGCTGGTGAGATCCTCCACGGAGCGCGACCATTTCAGATCCTCCTTAATTGCCTCGTCCACCACCAAGTACTTGAGCTGCCGGAGCTGGGGGCTGATGTCGGACAGTCTCCGAGGGCTGACGTCTGGTGACCTCCTCATGCCACTGAGGTAGCAAGCGCCGCGGGCAGGTAGGTGGGCAGGGGGAGCACGGACAGAGAGGGGGGGATTCGTGAGGAGCAGATCCCAGGGCGAGAGCAAGAGCGCGGCCGGGGCCCTCCAGGGGCGAGCGCCGCGGCAGAGCCCGCGCTGCTCTCTTCCAGCCGCCTCTCACCCACTTCCCCCGGCAGCTGCCCCCAGTGCCCTACCCTGGGCTCCCCGGGGCAGTGCGGGTGGGGGCGAGTGGCGAGGGACAGAAGGACTGAAACTTCCGGAGCAGCTTCGCCGCGCGCGCAGCCCGTCCCCGAGCCCCAGACTGCCCGGTGTCCCGGCTGCAAAGGGCCACCCCGGCGCTCCGGCCTCCCGCCCGCCAGCTCGCGCACCCACGCCCGGGGCGCTACTCACACGGCGATGCTCTTGCCCCTGGGTGCGCCTCCGGGAAACTCTCGGATCCCCATAGGCAAAGACAGAGTGGGGCCGGCAGCTCCCAGACTTGAGGCGGAGGGGCCGCGGGCCGGAGCTCCCTGCAGCCGCCAGCCGGGAAGACGGGGGTGCGCTGCCCACCGAGGGTCTGCGCCGCGCCGGCCGCGCCGGCCGCCCCGGGCCGCTTTGTGCGCCCCCGCGCGGTCTGTCTCCGAGCGCCTCCGCGGCGTGCGGGGAGATGCAGGCGCGGCGGCTCAGCCCGGCGACTCCAGGCCGGCCCGCGCGCTCGCCGCAGCTACCCGGCAGCCGAGGCAGCGCCGCGCGCCCCGCCAGTCACCGTCGACGCCGCCCCAGCACACCGCGGGCGCGGGTGCCGCCGGGCCGGGAGAGCCCTCCCAGCTGTGCGCTCTCGAGGCACCTGGTCGGGCGGGGAGGCGTCGGGTCGGGGCGCATAGGGGCCAGGCGGGGGCGCTGCTGCCCACCTCCCGCCTCCCGGGCGTGCGCTCGGCCCCGGAGCCCGCACCTCGAGCCCGCGCTCCGCCCGGCAACCTGGGGCATGGGGAGCGCTCCTCCTCCCCTCTCTTTTGGCTCAAATCCTGCCACTCCCTGTTCACTTCTCTCCCTTTCTCTCTCGCTCTGTATGTATGTGTCTGTCTCTCTCTCTGTAAATTAGCAAAACTACTTGGAAAGAAAGAAATCTGGTTCCATGCTCAGCATGCCAAGCGAATAAATGGCGTTTCACAGGCAACGCTGAGACACAAAGTGAATTAATCTATTACGCCATGGGGATCTCTCAGGCGGACCTGGTCCTCAGAGAGCTTACTTTCTCACTGATGACGCAATTACTAAATCAGTTATCTAAAGGATACCTAATAGATATCCTTGTTAAAATTTTCTCATCCTTTTTTCCTACCACCCCACTGCCCCCGACGGCCGAAAGCCATTCTCTCCAGACTACCTAATCGCCTTTCGTAATATTGTTTTTCATCGGGGCAAATTTAGAAAAGACAGAGGTATGTGGAGAAGAAAATACCCATTATCCAGCCAAAAATGACGACTTTCAATTATAAAGTTATTCGCTTCCAGGCTTTTTTCCAATGCAAAATACAGTTGTCACAAAAATCAGAATGAAATTGTACACACTGCTTTATGTACTGCTTTTTTTATATTAAAATCATATTGTGTAGCGGCAAACCAGGAATAGAAGGGAACTTTCTCAACTTGAAAAAGAACATTTACAAAAGCATTCAGCTAACACCGTGCTTAATAGTGAGAAGCCAGAAGCTTTCCTGTTAAAATAAGGAACAGGGCAAGTATGTCTCTACTCAGCACTCCTTTTCAGCGTCATTCTGGAAGTCCCAGCTAATGAAATTAGACAAGAAAAGGAAAATAAAAGTATATGTATGGGGAAGAAAAAGGTAAAAGAAAACTGTCTTTGTAGCTGACATGACTGTCGACGTAGAAAAATCTCAACTGATAAAAAAAAAAATCTCTCCTGTTACTAATAATCAATTATGGTAATGTTGAAGGATATACAAAAGTCAACTGCTTTCATATATACCAGCAATGAACAATGGGAATTTGAAATTAAAAACACAATACTATTTATATTACATGATTCAAATGAAATATTTAGGTACAAGTCTAATTAATATATACAATATCTATATGAGAAAAACTATAAAACTCTGATGAAAGAAATCAACTAAATAAATAGATATTTCATGTTCATGGATGGAAAAATTTAGTAGTGTTAAGATGTCAGGTCTTCCCAACTTCATCTATAGATTCAAAGTAATTCCAATCAGAAACCCAGATATCACAAAATATCCAGTTTGTGATATTCACGGGTTATTTTGTGATATTCACAGGTTATTTTGTGAATATCACAAATTGATTCTCAAGTTTATATGGAAAGGCAAAAGACCCATAATAGCCAACACAATACTAAAGGAGAAGAACAAAGTCTGAGGACGATATTGCCCAACTTCAAGACTTACTGTAGTTACAGTAATCAAGACAGTGCACTATTGGTGAAAGAGCAGATAAATAGATTGATAAAGAGGCCAAGATAGACCCACACATGTAGTTAAGTGATCTTTGACAAAGAAGCAAAAGAAATTTAATGGAGAAAAGATATTTTCAACAAATGGTGCTAGAACAACTAGATATCCACTCACAAAAAAAAAAAGAGAAAAAAAGAAAAGAATCTAGATACATATATACCAACCTTAAAGCTGTCACAAAAATTAACTCAAAATAGATCATAGACCTAAATATAAAATGCAAAACTATATACCTCTTAGAAGATAAAAAGGAGAAAATCTAGGTGACCTTGTGTTTGCAAATGATATTTTAGATACAACATCAAAGGCATGATCCATGAAAGTAAAAATTGATAATTGGACTTCATTAAAATTAATAACTTCTGCTCTGCAGAAGACACTGTTAAAACAATGGGAAGACAAGCTACAGACTGATAGAAAATCTATCAAATCATATACATGATTAAGAAGTATTATCCAAAATAAGAATAATCAGAACTCAACAATAAGAAAATGAACAACCCAATTAAAAAACTGGCAAAACAGTTCAACAAACATATCACTAGAGATGATACACAGATGGCAAATCAGCACCATGAAAAGATGCTCCATATCATTACAAATTAAGACAACAAAGATGTATTTCTGTAAACCTACTAAAATGGATAAAACCTCGAACCCTGACAACATCAAATACTGACAGGATGTGGAACAACAAGAACTCTTTCATTCATTGCTGGTGGGAAGGCAAAATGGTACAGCACTTTGGTAGACAGTTTGAAAGTTTCTTACAAAATTAATCATACCTTTACCATGCAACCCATCAATCATGCTTCTTGATATTTACCTGAATGAGTTGAAAACTTAGTTCTACACAAAAATCTGCACACCAATGTTTATAAAAACTTTTTTCATAATTGCCAAGATTTCCTTCATTAGGTGAATGGATAAACACACTATGGTACATCCATATAATGGAATATTGTTCAGTGATAAATGAGCTATCAAGATGTTAAAAGATATGAAGGAAATTGAAAACATATTGCTAAGTAAAAGAAACCAGTCTAACAGGCCATATACTGTAGGATTCCAAACTGAGAGGGGCAAAACTATGGAGACACTATAAAGATCATTGGTTCCCAAGGGCTGGGGGGAGGAAGAGATGAATAGTCAGAATACAGAGGATTTTTAGGGCAGTGAACCGATTTTGTATAATACTGTAATGGTAGATATATATCACTATACATTTGTCAAAACTCAATGGATGCACAACCCTAAGAGTGAACCCTAATGTAAGATATAGACTTTGGGTGATAATGATGTGTTAATGTTGGCTCATTATTTGTAAGGAATGTACTACTGGTGCAGGATGTTGATGTGGGTGGAGAGAAGCTGTGGGTGTGTGACAGGGGGAAGGTATTTAAAAACTTTCTGTACTTTCTGCTCAAATTTGCTGTGAACCTGAAATTGTTCTAAAAAAAAAAGTCTATTTTAAAAATTCCATTATGCTGCTTTTCTATGTCACTATGTTCTTCTAAAATATTTTCCAGTTTTATTAAGGTTAAGTGACAAATATAAATTCTATCTGTTTACAGTGTACAACATGATGTTTTGATATATGGATACATTGTAAAATGATTCAATCAATGAAGAATGAAGAAGTTAGCACAGTGCAGGGCCTGAGTTTAGTGCTCCCTGAATATTGCAATGATCATTACTGCCACAGTGTTTCCACTTGTCAGATGTAGCCATTTCTGTAACATCTCAGGAAGTTTCTGGATCTGGACTTTGTCAGCCATTGCAATTACTGCGCCTACTCCCACCAAGTGCTACAGAAGAACTTCTTTTATCTCCTTACCGATCGGTACCCTCACCTCTCCAGACAGTTCTCTTTATGGCTATAACTCTCAAGTTAAATACTTTTGCCTGAGCTGTGTGATACTGAGTGTGCATTCACTAGTTGAGACCAGCAAACTACTTGTCCAACCAGGTGTGTTCAGCTGGCATTATGCCATAAATGCCACATTGCAGAACAGCTACCACAGGTTCTATCATCCATATGTCAACACTTAATGCTTTGCATTTTGGCACAGTGAATATCAGAAGAGGTGCTCACTGGTGAAAATTTTGCATTTTAAATGGCATCTGTAAGGGTAAGAAATGAGTTCTTCTTGGGGAATTACAGATGTTCATGATATGTGGATTGGACGCAATATTTCAGAGATCCTCTCCATCAGGTAACCCAAGATTTAACTTCTATACTTTGGTATAGTACCCAAAACTTGCCATCCTTTTTCCAGCCAACATTTACATAATTTTAGTTTCCTGATACCAACTCTAAGAGTAATGGGGCAGGGTGCAATGGCTCATGCCTGTAATCCCAGCACTTTGGGAAGATGAAGTGGGTGGATCACCTGAGGTCAATAGCTTGAGACCAGCCTGACAACTATGGTGAACCCCATCTTTATTTAAAATACAAAAATTAGCTGGGTGTGGCGGCACATGCTTGTAATCCCAGCTACTTGGGAGGCAGAGGCAGGAGAATCGCTTGAATATGGCAGGCGGAGGTTGCAGTGAGCGGAGAATATCATGCCACTGCACTCCAGCCTGGGCAAAGAATCTGCTCTAGAATATGGTTGCTTCTGGGTGAGCTTTTCATGTTTCTTGTGGTCAGAGGCTCTATAAGAACAGAATGCTGCCCTCTGTCTGAGTTATAAAACAGGCCACAAAACCTTTTTCTGTAAACTTGCTAGTAAATGCTGTTTGTTTAATAACGGTGCATGTGTGGCACAATGTGGTGTAAGCTGATTTTATTATAACCTGTAGACATTTTGGGTGCCTCAAGAATATCAATAAAATCTTGAGACAAATTGTGCTTGGGATATTCAGAATCTCAGAATCACAAAAAGCAATAGCAGAAATTCTCTATGTTCATGGTTCTTAAAGTTTATAGTTCTTTAGAATCGCCTCAGATGCTATTTTAAAACGTAGGCTTTTATATCCTATCCAATCATAGGGAGGGTTCCCCTTGCCAAGTAGGTCCAAAAAGCTACATTTTAACAACCATGCTTGATGAGGCTGATGTAGATGATCAGTGAAATATACCCCTTAGAGACAGGAGTGCCTCAAATATGTGAAAGCATTTTTACATGCTAATTTCAGACTACTCTTTAGCTCCCTCAGTAAGAAACTTCTGTATATGGACTGCATTTAAGCAAATTTAAAGAGCTTTTCTGTGGTTCTTTAACATTTCTTATCTGTCAGCTCCAATATTGAGGTCATCTGTGAATATGCTTCTACTGTCTATTTTTCTGTTGATTTTTTGGTCATATTTTCTTGCTTACTTACATGTCTAGTAATTTTTTTCTATTCTAGATGTTTTGATTTGAAACAGTATAC